GGGAACCCGGGAGCCCGGGAACCCGGGAGCCACCGAAATCGGCCCGGAACCCTGAACCGGGAACCCGGGAACCCAGCTTGCTACCAAAATCGGCGGGAAAGTTTCGCCAAATCTTTCATCTTCGGCTAGGACCCCTTCAGTGCAGGCACTGATCGGGGAACCTGCGGGGATGGGGTTCACAGGGGCGACAGGAGAAAACGGGGCCGACTGCGTGGACATTCGCGCGAAGACTTCCCGCGTAAGGTCGCGCGCAAGCGCCCTCCCCTCCACGCGGTGTGCCGCGCGTGGCGGCCTGCGTAAGCCACCGCGTAAGGCCGCTACGTCATCGTGCGTAAGACCCCGTCATATTCAAGAGGCTTGCGCCATTCCGCCGACCCCCAGATAATGAGCGAGAAGGAGGAAGAGGATGAAATGGGCGACGACGGTGGGAGTCAGAGAGAGGAGAATCGGGCCAGACGAAAGGGCAGGATAGGGGAGGGGGGGGACGAAGCCTGCCATGCAGCTGGTTTCCGCCCCGCCGCGGGGTCCATTCCTCCATACATGGGCGCCACCCGACGCCGGGAGGCGCCAGGAAAACCAGCGACGGGAGCTGATTCTCCACCCTGCCCTTTGCTATCCTACCCCTTTCGTGCCCCCCGAGAGAAGGACGAGGACGGTGGGACGGTCTTCGACGTACGACCCCTTTACGTGTCTTCGTCGCTCACCCGTGGCTGTCCCAAGGACTATCGCGCGGGCCTCCGAACGTGTATGCTCAGAAGACCTTGTCTTTTATCCCCTGGCGATAACGGGCGTGACCAGGGGGGGTCCTCCTCCTCCTCCTCCTCCTCCTCCTCCTCCTCCTCCTGCTCTTCTTCCCCCTCCCCCCCCTCCTCCTTCTCCTCCTCCTCCTCCTTCTCCTCCTCCTCCTCCTCCTCCTCCTGGGGCGAGGGGGGAGGGGGCTGTCACGTCGCGATTTGCGCCAGCGCCGGCTGGGAATGCCTAGGGATAGCCATTTGGCAGGCAGCGCCGGCGCGAATCGTGACGTGACCAAGGGAGTGGGGGGAGAGCGGGGGGGCGGGGCCAGTCACGGCCTTAATCGCGAAACATAAGAAGATGCTCTCTTGCTGATCCTCCTCTTGTTGTTATTATTCGTCTTCTTCTTAGTCTTCTTCTTCTTATTATTATTGTCCTTCTTCTTCTCCTCCTCCTTCTTCTATTTCTTCTTCCTGTTGTTATTGCTCTTCTCCTCCTCCGTTTTCTTCTTCTTCTTCTTATTCTTCTTCTTCTCTTCTTCGTCTTCTTCCTCTTCCGTGCAGGGGAGGCGGACGCCACCCCGCGGCGCTCCCCCCCCGTCAGCGCGCCTGTGCTTTTACGGCGGCTCGTCCTCGGGATGCTGCCAAGGTCGCGGTCCCCCGGGGGCGCCCGGGAGGGGGGCGATTCCCATGCAGCCAGTGCGCACAGGAGGGACGAACAGCTTTCGAAGGCTACCCTTTTGCAGCCTTGCCCCTTCGGCTCCTCCTTGGCCGCTTTCGCTGGCCGCGATCCGCCTGAAAGGTGTCGGCATGGACTCCCAAGGCCCTTTGCCTCCTCATCGTGCCTCCTCCTGGTGCGCGTTGGCTGAGTAGGGGTGGGGGGATCCCATGGACGGGGTCGTGACGCCTCCCGAAATTTCACATGCTCACCTCTTCTCTTCCTTCCGTGCGTCCCATGCGCCCGCCCTTCTCGTCCGCGCACGTGCCTCGGGCCCTGGTGCGCGCCCCCCCCTCCTCCCTGGCCCGCCTCTCGGGCGGACCCGAGCTCCGAGTTTTCGTCGGCCCCCTGGAGGCGTTTCCAGCCTCGGGATGCTTTCCCGGGGGTGAATCCCCGCCTCGCGCTGGGGCAGCCAGACTCGGCCTGGCCAGTTCCGCGGCGGCACGGGGACGAGTTACCAGGAGCCTTTAGCCAGGCACAGCTCCCAGTGCCGTTCCAAAGCGAGGAGCGCTGGCCGTGCGAATTCGTACAAGCTCGCTCCACCCCCAGTGCCGATCTCCCACCACACGCATCATATGCCCAGATCTCCGACGACATGCTTTTTTTCGGACGGCAGTTTCTCCTCGTTCTCGGAGCTCGTGGGCCGTTCTAGGGACCCTGGACCTCTGGGGCTGCGGATTGACAAAATCATATCGGCAGATGTCAGTCGGCGGCGAGCGAAGGGGGGAACTAAGAAGGGGCGGGCCTTCTCAGAGCTCGGAAGTCACCGGGCCTTCCGAGAAGTTTTCCAAGCCTTCCCCGAAGACGCATGATGCTTCTCAGAAGGCGCGAGGGCCTCTGAGAAGTCCCGCCGCCTTTGAGAAGGCCTTTTCTCCTTCTCACTTCCACCCCCGCTCGCCGCCGAGAGAGGCAACGACGGGACGGCGGGACGACCGTTCCCTCCTCCTACTCCTCCTCCTCCTCCTGCTCCTTCCCTTGTCCTCCTCATCCTCCTTCTCACTTCCTCCCCTCGCTCGCCGCCAAGTCAGGGTACAGTGCCGTTTTTAATACA